TTTTGAAATAATTTTGAAATTAGTAAATGATTTATTAACACCAATGACTTATTCAAAATTTTTTATGAACACTCTAGTGGCAGCATGTAATTTGTTTCGAATCGAACTCTTCGAAACAAAAATTTATTAATATTTAAATTAATTATTAAAATTAATTAATTATTAAAATTAAATTTCATTATTTGTCTTTTAAATTTCAAATTTTATAAAAAAATTTTACCAAATATTTTGGCAATCTATCATTTTTTATCTTATAAAAATCATTTTGAAATGACTAGAAAAGCTACTCGAGACAAAGCTTATGGTGTTGCCAAAACGACTTGAAAAATGGTCGAAATGAAGTTACGTGCTGCCACCCCTGTTCATCAAGTGCAGAATGAAGTGAGACATAGTGATACAAATGCAATATAAAAAATGTCTGCAAGGGTTCGAAGTTTAATGAAAATCTGTGTAAAATTTTTGTTATACTTTTATTTTAATATTAGAAAAGTGTAAACGACTCTATTATACCGTCCAATAAAAATAAATTTTTTCAAAAGAAAAACAAAAATTAAAATTTAAAATCAACGATCTCTTATTGTAAATATTACTCATATTTTTTTTTTATAATATTTTAATGTGAGAGTAAATATGAGTAAAAAACGTACATATTTGTACATCACTTTCATTGCCATAGTTAGCAATATTGGACATGTTATTGGTTGTGTTGTAATATTTAAAGAAATCCATAATATGTAAAGTCTATTACGTTGTCATAATCTAATAAGGTTTGGTATAACTAGAAAGTTAAAAATATGTAAAAAAATTTTTTGTATGCTTATTTTATTATTTTTGTTTTAATGTTAATAAATTTATTAAAATATCCGTATAGATTTTGTAAAAATGGTATTCCATACTTAAAAAATCAATGATCGCTATTTGGTGATTTTTATATATTGACTGTTTATACAAAAGAAAATTTTTATTATACATACATACATATATTTTGCAATCATATTACACCAATGTAAACTAAAAGAACATTTTCTGTGCTATGTAATAAATATTACAGGTTGAGGCGTGTGGAATATATGGACGTGTTTTTAATACGTTCCATTAATATAACTTAAATTTGTATTAGCTTAAATCAAGAAAATATGATGTTCCATCACACTTAAAGATTTAATTTTCAAAACATTTTCAAATGTTGCAACATTGAAATCACATTACCTAAGAATGGGAGAAAAATAAATATTTAAAATTAATAATATTATTTGTAGTTTTAATTTTCAAGAATTTGAATTATATAATTATGCTCACTTAAATTAATACCAGCTCACCATTTAATTTTTGCTGCAAAAAAACTCATTGGAAATTAAAACTAGCTTAGCTTAAAATGGAAATTTTTGTCGGTTTTATACAAGTTTTATTATAATTAATTGCTATAAAAGTCTTAATTAAAAATTATTAAGCAGTTATTCAGCTAACCAATAGCTTAAAAAAATAGTTAGCTATAATAATAAAGGAAAATTAAAAAACGAAAATGGTCAATTATTTTCAATCCTAATTCATACAAGATTATTTTATCAAAACTTAGCAGACTGGTTGAAGTTAATAGGTAAACAGAATAAGGGATGAATTACATTTTTTGACTGTATGAGCATGGTTATATTTATGTCCACTCTTCATCAGTTTCAAGAAAAAGTCGTATATCAAAATTTAAGTGGGAATATCTAAATTAAATTAGAAATTCCATTTTTCTGCGAATATTAATACCATGAAGCGCTTCACATATTCTAAGCTTGTTGAACAAAAGAAAAAAATTATTTTACACTTGATTTGCATACCCACCTAAATTTTACTTCTAATTATCTTTAATGTATTTTTGGCGTTATATTAGTGATATTTTTGATTCACTTTTTCATACATGTGTATTGGCGCCAACAAATTTTCTGAAATATCAAAAATATAGTTGCCAGAATATTTAAACAAATTTTAATTGCATTACAACTATAATTTTTATTATGAAAACTAAAACGAGCATCCTCAAAAATATAATTATTGTAGCCTAGACTTGAAGGTGTTTGCAAGTCTTATAAATAGTGAAAGAAAAATGGGTATGCCTATGATTGTATGGATATTTGAGTTATTTAATTTAAATTTATATTATACCTTCTTTTATTTGAGTAGGTTTATAAATTATTGTAATTGTGAATAAAAATGTAGTCAATCCCATTATTTTAACATGATGGATTTTGTTGAATGTAAAACAAAAATTTCTTAATAAATTTTTTAAAGGCGAACAAAAAAATATTTTTGAATTTTAACAGAAAAGCCTTGGATTTTTGCTTTAAAAGTTTATAGTGTATAATAATTGTATAAATATGTATATATATATGTAGGTTCTTAATTAATGCTCCAAGAATGCAGTTTTGCATAAATTTACCGGTATACCGGTTTTTTTTTATAATAAAAATTATTATTTATGAATTTTAGAATTATGGAATGACCATAAAATATTGATTTTATTCCGACACAATTTTTTATTAAACATGTATGTGTGTAAGTACATTGTAGTAATTATGTTTGTGTAGGTTTTGTTAATTCATATATATTATCTGAAGCAAAATACCTCATTGTAAGTCAAATTTCTTTTTAGTACAGATAGATGTTGTATATCGAAATACGGAAAGCAATACTGAATCCTGAAAGCTGAAGAGACACAAATATTCTTACTATTTTCATATTAAAATAGAATTTCGGTGTATGCATGGCTCTGTTTTATCTTCAAATTAATTCTCGGTATGTGCAGCGTTGCTGTATCTCTAAACTTATCGGATGTGGGAATAAGTTCTTTCGGACACATTGTTTAAGATTTTGATTGATTTTTCATTTCAATTGATTTTATTGAATTTTCGTAATTCTCTTTTTTTTTCTTTTACTCCTTTTTGTTAATGGAATTGAATATTTTTTTAGTGAAACTTAAAATACAAGTGTAATTAAATCATAAACAGCATCTGGGTATATATATAATTAATTTCTTACACCAATGAGCGAAAATTTGTCGGAATTTGTAAATACTGTTCTAGAAATATGCAATGCGGTCGATTATACGCTGATCACATCAGATTTTTTATACTTTGCCCAATGTTACAGCCTTTTTAATTTAAAAGTTTTATTTAAATTTTGATTAATTTTTTTTACATTTTTGTACTCTTATAGTTCAAAGACAAAAAAAAAAATGTCAATTTACCATAAATTGCTAATATATATAATGTAAATGTGTTTGTTAATCTATATCTAATATAAATCTATTTATTGGAAAATTTTTTTTTGTTTTAATTGCAAGAAATCTCGTTTACGCTTTTTTTAATTAATTAATTAGATATTTGCTTATTACAATTGTTACTCAAAGATTAATTAAATTTGTTTCATTTATTTGATTTCGTTTTAATGAATGATACAACAAACATACATACATATTTAACTGCGTACAAATTATATATTATGGCATGCATCAAGAAACCGGGAGATGTAAAAGTGAATGTTTTATTTAAAATCTTGTTTTTTCTTTTGGTTTTTAAGAGCAAGTACATTTTAACCGTGGAATGTAAAATTTTTTATACTTGGAATGCATGTATAAATGCTATATTATAAAAGAACACATGTTTAATATTAGGCTTATGCTTCATTATGCAATCAAATGTTCTTTTAAACAGAAGAATGATTAAATTTATTTTATAATTAAGTTCTACATTGTTTTTGTAGGCAAAAGTATTTTTATTTTTTAAATTAAATGAAAATCTTTTGACACAAAAACAATGTTGTTAAGACAAATACGATGACCATCAATTAAAATTTTCCCTCGATTGTCTGATTTAGTTTTAATGAAAAAATTTATTCAGGATTTTTTGAATTTTGGTTACTAGGTTTGCAATAAAATAATTTTGTAAATTTCAAAATAAAAAGTAGAAAATCCGGAATCTGCTTTATAACAGGTGATATTTTATTAACAACATGAGGATCTTTATTATCTTATGGGACACTCCACTTTCATGCATGTTGCGAAGTGAAAAACAACACGAAATTTTATGTCAAAAATTTTGAGAAAGTTTTTTTTTCTTCAAAAACTTTACACAAAATATTCTTTTAATTTATCGACTTTAAAATACATAAAATAAGTGAAAAACTACATTGTATACCATTTTTGATTTATTGTAACTTGTTGGTTTTGTTTAGAGAAAATTTTAGATAATTCGGTGATCCGCAAAAAAAAAAATCCTAAATAACTTGAAAATGTGGTTTTTTATATTTTTGTAGAACAACTTGCTTAGGCCACTTCTGTTTTCGTGTATTCTACTTTTAAATTTGTTGCATTTAATGTAACACTATTTTTAATTTCTAACTAGTTCCAATATTTGATTTTATTTTGTGGTATTGTTATGATATTATAAGTAGTTTGCATTCGTACACTTGTAAAACTTTAAAAATTTGTATAAAAGTCCGCTAAGGTAAAACTGACATATAAACCATCCTGATTTCTGCCAAAGACAATCATAAATATTAAAATGTATAAATGTACACGTTTATCCACCTTTCCATTAAATATTTTAATTATATTATTTACAAAAAAATAGAAAAGCAGTATGCATATTGTGAGAAAGTGTTCTTCAAAATACTTTTCATTTTGAAGATAGTAAATTATAGAGGAAATGGTGCAAAGTTTGAGGTGATTTCTTGTGATGTGCAACCTTCTGTTGTTGCTTTATATTCTTTCCCTAATAAATGTTAAACGGCATTGGGCATCACTTGTGTCATATTTGGGCACAGACCACAGAATAACTTGAGCAATTAAAGTCCTTCAGTTATTTATAATACCAAAAATGAATAAGATTATCTTTGAAGTGTCTTAAATGGCAGTTTATCTACCAATTTTTAATTCTTAAATTTTTTGTACCTTCCTTTAGTTACATACTATTTTTTAAATTTTAATTACTTACCGAGTTTTTTTTTTCTTTCAGCTTCCTTTAGGAGCGGTAAGGCAAACACTTATTCTAGTTTTCCTATTGTTTTTTATTGAAGGTATTATATTGATTTATTAAGTGAATTTAGATTTAAAAGCTATTGATATTTTGTTTTATGATAGAAACAAGAGCTGATAAAAAAGTTGTATGCTATTACACAAATTGGAGTGTTTATAGGCCAGGAACAGCAAAATTTAATCCACAAAATATTAATCCATATTTGTGTACACATTTAATTTATGCATTTGGAGGATTCACCAAGGATAACACTTTAAAAGCATTCGATAAATATCAAGATATTGAACAAGGTTTTATTTTAATGTTTAGACTTTTATTAAAGTAAATCATTGTTATTTTTGTGTTTAAGGTGGATATGCTAAATTTACTGGCCTAAAAACATACAACAAAAATTTAAAAACTTTATTGGCCATTGGAGGATGGAATGAAGGATCATCAAGATTTTCTCCTTTAGTAGCAAATCCTGAAAGACGACATCAATTTATAAAAAACATTTTAAAATTTTTAAGACAAAATCATTTTGATGGTTTGGATTTAGATTGGGAATACCCAGCTCATAGAGATGGAGGAAAATCAAGGGACAAAGAAAATTATGCACTATTTGTGCAAGAATTACGAGCTGAATTCGACAGAGAATCATCAAAAACAGGTCGACCAAGGTAGTTTTGAAAGTTAAATGTGTTTCTCATATTTATGTATCTAAGTGTTTTGTGGAATTGTTTATTTTATTTACAATAAATTCTAATCTTGAATAGATTACTTTTAACAATGGCTGTTCCAGCTGGTATAGAATATATTGAAAAAGGATACGATATACCAAAACTAAATAAATATTTGGATTGGTTTAATATTTTAAGTTACGATTATCATAGCGCATATGAACCATCTGTCAATCATCACGCTCCCCTTTATCCCTTACAAGATGAAGATGATGAATATAATTTTGATGGTGAATTAAATATTGTGAGGATTATTATAATGTGTAAAGCGATTAATAATTGCATTAGAATGACAATATATTTCTTGTAGGATTACACAATCAAACATTATTTAAAAGCAGGAGCAGATCGTGATAAACTAGTTCTTGGTATTCCAACATATGGACGTTCGTATACATTGATTAATGAGGATAGCACCGACATAGGTGCCCCATCTGACGGTCCTGGTGAACAAGGTGATGCCACTCGAGAAAAAGGTTACTTAGCATACTATGAAGTTAGTAAAAAAAGTTTAAGAATTATATTTAAACAACTTCTATTTTTAATAGAAGTGCATATAGATGAAATGTATCTGCTGTAATCATTAAAAATTTTTGTTTTTCTAATAGATATGTCAGAACATTAAAACTGAAGACGATTGGACTGTTGTCCAGCCAAATCCCAAAAGCATGGGACCATATGCTTTTAAAAAAAATCAATGGGTTGGATACGACGATGAGGATATAGTAAAAAAAAAAGCAGAGTACGTAGTTTCAAAAGGTTTGGGAGGGATAATGTTTTGGTCAATAGACAACGACGACTTCAGAGGAAATTGCAATGGACGCCCTTATCCATTAATTGAAGCTGCAAAAGAAGCAATGTTTGATAGGTAGGAATTTTCTTGCACTATATAATTTGAAGAATTTTTGTATAAAACTTTTCCAATTGTTTTTAGATATAATGATAATGAAGTTATTAAACAGGATAAAGTTAGAAAGCCTGGGCGTTCTAGAAGTCAAAGTAATTCTTCCACAAGAAATCAAGCTTTTAATAATGAGGATAAGAAAAAAACACAAAGTCGAATAAAACAAACAGAAAGTAGGAAGCGTATTTCAAGTACCACTACTACTTCTACGACTACAACACCAATACCAGTTACTAGAACCACCCCTGCGCCACCAACTACACCAGATCCTGGAGCTGGTAACTTTCAAAGCTCTCAACCAAAGAATTGACCAATAAGTTTTAATTTATTTTTAGATTTCAAATGTGAAGATGAAGGTTTCTTTCCCCATCCTCGCGATTGTAAAAAATACTATTGGTGTCTCGATAGCGGACCCTCTAACTTGGGGCTTATAGCGCATCAATTCACATGCCCTTCTGGTCTTTATTTTAATCCCGCTGCTGATTCTTGTGACTTTACCAGAAACGTGCTTTGTAAAAAAAACATTAAGCAAACAACAACCAAACCTACAACTGTTACTACTACTAAGTGGGAATATATTGTAAATTAATTTTTTTTTTCTAAATTTGTGTTTTTTTTATAGGGCGACAACTACCACTTTGACAACGCCATCAAAAGCAATAAAGTTAAAAACAACTTCTACTACGCCAGAACCAGAGTATGAAAATTATGAAGATGATGATCAGGATGAAGACCCCCAAACTGATGAAGAAAAAGGTACAACAAAAGATCCTGAGGAAGACCCAAAGGTGATAAAAGAATTGATTGATTTGATTAAAAAAGTCGGTGGTATCAAGGAGTTAGAAAAACTTTTACAACAAGATGATCAAGATAATACTACTGGAGCAAAAAATCAAAAAAATTCTGAAAAATCAAGACTCCAAGAGACTTTTACTGGAAAATCATTGTACAGTAAGGTTCTTGGAAGACAAAATAGCCTAACGTCTTTGAAGGATCGTTTTAGTACTTTACAAGCTATTCAACGAAATAGTAAATCATCTGATATTACAGAAGATTACAAAGACGATAGCTCAAGTGAAAAATATTCATCGGTTGTTCGCAACAGTAGACCACGACCACAGAATGATGGCATAAACAAATTAGCAGAGTTTGATGGCTTTTTAAGAGAAAAGCCTAAATATGTTACCCTTAATAGATCAAGGCCAGCAGCAACGAAAAGCGATGAGTCTAAATCAGTTGATAATAAAAAAGTCGAAGAGGAAGATAACGATGAAGATGAAGATAATGAAGATGAAGATGATAATGAAGACGATAACGAAAGGGGCGGTTTCAGAAGTAGAGTGACAAGTGAAAAACCACAACTTTCGTCCACGTTATCCTACATTAATATTAGAAGAACTTTGCCATCTACAACAACTGCTGTGCCTAGTTTGGAGTTAACTGCAGCAACAACAGAGTTTAGTAAAGTGGATGAAACCAAAACAAAAGTTCCTCCTTCATTTTTAAGAAACCGGTGAGTAAAGTGTATGGATATCTCTAGAAGTTATTGGTTTTTTTTAGTTTTTAAAAGGAAACCTTTTTGTCTTTGCCAAAATTGAATCGTATTAACCTTATCTTAACTCAAAGCTTTAAAATTTTTACATTCGAATTTAGGCTATCATAAAAGAAATATTTTAAACTTAATATATAATATTAAGATTTTATTAAGGTACTATTTACAATCTTAAAAAATATTGTGAAATTTGAGTGCAAAACTTGTTAATAAATATAGAGACATTGTAGATTATCCTTACATTACGTTGTACAATAGGCCAACATACATAAAATTTTAAATGCTTATTATTTTTTGTATGGGAAGTACCAATTTGGGTGGGTTAATTTTTTCCACAAATTTCATGTCTCTGCCTCTTTGCGTTCTCAAAACAGTGCTTCAACAATGCGAAATTAAAATTTTGAAGTTCTTGCTATTACATACCTTATAATAAATAGAACATAGCCTTCCTTAATACAGGCGAGCATAAAAATTACGAAATTAGGAAAACTTCATATTTCAAAATATGTGTCCATTATGTAATTATGTTTCGTAGTATGAATATTTAACTTATATTTTTTCTAACTTTTTTTCCTAGGTATAAAACTTTAGTGAGGTCAAATACACAAAATGTAACTAATCAAAATGAGTATGAGGAAGAGGAACCACCAAATGTTACGGTAATAAACACTGAAAACAATGAAAATACACAAGCACCCAAAAGAAAATTTGTAACATACAATGCAACTGAGCGCAGAACAACCACTCCAGCTACACAAACTGTTCAGGCAGAAGATCAACAAGAATCAACGACTAAATCATACATAAAACAAACTAATACTAACAACATTTTTTCACTGATTAACACTCATAACATTAGAACAACCCAATCAACATCACCAACAACAATCCAACAACCTTTAATTGAAACTTCTTCCTATAGTTCGATTCCCACAAAAGACCCACTTTTTTCCACAATAAGTACAATCAGTAATGAGACAAACTTAGACTTGACAGAAGTACCACTTGATTTTGAAAGTATTGATAAAAAATTAGATGAAACAACTGTGAGTAACACGGACAAAACAAATGAAAGTGACTTACTTAATTTAGATAATGAAATTAATTTTAATAAAGAAAATGACACTATTAATATAAATGAAAAAATTTTCAATTCAACGCAAAGTAATTGTAGTAACATAGAAGTATTAAAAGAAGGTAGTCATAGTGACATTAATTTTATTCATTGTAATGATGGTGAAAGTTCATATACTAAAACAAGTACGAAATCGACACCATTGGACGAAACTACAACGCCGTTTTTAGGGACAATTTCTAGTCCAAGACCATTTACTCCTATCCATAAAAGAATCCGCATCCGACCTGTAATTAAAAATTCCCTTAATAAAACTTCATCATTAGAAAATTCTAATTCGTCTAGTGTTGAAAGCGAAACTAATAACAAAAATAATGATGTTACCATAAATAAGGTGAGTTCTGTCAAACATAACCGTTATTTAAACAGTAGAAATAGGGGTAGTAGCAACTTAGAGAGTGGTAATATTGTAAATGTAGATATAGATAAACAGAGCACTGTAAATACAACACAAAACAAGTTGGATTTTAGTGGAAAAAGTAAAGTTAAATTCAAGTCCATAAGGGTGCAAGAGGTAAAGAATTCTAAAGATAGCAATGAAAATGATAACGATATTAGTGTGCTAAATCTTACTAAAGACTCAGAATCTGGGCAAGAAACAAGAATACACAACAAAACAGTTAAATTGAACAGTTTCAAAAGTCTTCAAGATACTGCTAAAGATAGGTATGAATTAACACTTAAAAGTCCTGTGTTACTCCATATAGAAGATGATGATTCAACATCTAGAGGCTTAGAAAATAATGGAGATCAACAAGGTGAAATTGTGCAGAAAAAACTAAAAACAGATACTGATGGGCTTAAATTAAATTCTTCCAATCGTATTCGGAATAAAAATTTTTTAAGAAGAAACATTAGTGCTTATAGTTCTCCACCAAGTGATATTACCACCGAAACAACAATTAATGGTGCAAAAACATCTAAAAAATGTAAAAAAAGGATTGTTGGGCGGCAACCAAATACGGATAAAACAGAAGATACTAACCATAATGTAAATGTTAAAAGTTATTCGTGGAGAGATTCCCGAATAGCAAATTTTAGACCTTGGAAAACCACAACCTCTACTCCAGACAAGCTTGATGATAGCACACAAGCCATAAAGGTTACGTATGTGTATGAAGATTGCGCCGACAATGAAGACGATCTCATTAGTACTGAAGATAACACAGTAAGTTCGCAAAATGGTAATACAAAATATCAAAAAACTGTAGATAGCTCTTTAAGAAACAATGATGAAAGTTCAAACTTTGATTCTGCCGAAAATAAAACTAAGATTACTTCGAAAAGTAAATCAAACACAAACTTTAATATAAGCAACTCAAATCGAAAACGCCTAAACACTTTCTCAACTTTTAAGAAAGAAAATAATGTTAACACAAAGCACCACCTTGTGCAAAATTTATCAGATTCTGAAACCACTGATGAAAATGTTAATAGCGGAAATGATCAGGAATTTCAAAATTTAAATGAGAATAAAATTTCGAAAACAAGTTATATTTCAAAAAAAGTCGAATATTTGGTTCAAAATAGTTCTGTAAGTGAAGACGATTTAACTAATATTTCTGATCAAAATAACGAAAAAAAGAATCTTACTTTCTCAAATTTTGATAAAGAAAAAGACGATTTAAATACAAAACAACATCTTCTGCAAAATTCATCTGAATCTGAAACAATTTATAATAAAAATGTTGATCGCGAATATGACCAAGAAATTACAGATTCAAAAGATAACGAAAATAAAAATTTGAAAAAGAATTATATTTCCTCTGAAATTGAATTCTTGGTCCAAAATAATTCAGTCAATAGAAACGATTCCGTTAATGATGAAATTAAAATAACAAACAGCGTTACAAACAAAGTTAAAACAGATTCGTTTGTAGACCTTACCTCGACACAGGACAAAGAAAACCGAACTAAGTTGAAAATTTTTAACGCAAGCACACTAAGTACAGAACAAGATGTCAAAAAAAATTCCCAGATCTTGTTTGGGAATACCAATTCAAATGATGAATTTGATTCATTATCAATTGATGAAGAAATTGTGAATAAAACTAAAATAAAATTAAAGGAAAATGATGGTGATGCTGTAGATAATACAAAAAAAGTGAAGGCTAATAAAATTGAAGAGTCGTTTGAAGTGAAAAAAATTGATTTTCCAAATAATCAAGATTCAGTGAATACAACTTTCAATGAAAAATCAGAAATCAAAACAGAAGTTCAGGATGATAATTTGGATGACACAAGCAATAGCAATAATAATAAAATTAGAAAAATAATTATAAAAAATCAACCCAGAATTAACTTTGCCACAAGAACAAATAAAAAAACTCAAGTTGAAAGTTTAAAAAACTTAAGATTTTCACATTCCGATAAAGAAGGAACTAATGATACAACTACCACTGACAAATCTGTTGAAGATGATAAAACTGCAGGAGAATTATCCTCTTCAGGAAATAAATTTAATGGGCGTTCTAAATTTGTTGCAATTAATAGTAGTAGAGTCTTTGAAAGTCGTTCGAAATATAGAAAAAAAATTGAAGAAACAAATTCGAATCAGGATATTGATGATGAAGAAGATGAGAATGAAGAAGAAAGTGATGCTGATACCCAAAAATCACGGAATTCGAATTTAAATTTAAAAAGAACATATCGACCTAAACTTACTGCAGACGAATTAAGTTCACTTTTAGCGGTCGATCTAAGGAAGCACAAAAATCACGGCGAAAAAGTTTCTAACGAACCAAAGGTCCAGACTTTCAGACGCCGGCGCCCAGTTCAAAAAACAGAAAATGAAGAGCAAGTAAAACAAAATTTTACAGAATTAATTGGGAGAACTCAAAAATTATCACCTGCTAATACAAATAACAACAGATATTCAACCTCATTTGAAGGTAGGAGAAAGTTTGGAAGTAAAAATTTAACTGAAGAAATACAAAATCAAAATTACAATAAGAAAACTCAAATTGCGATTGATAATCGAAACTCTGTAAAAGATAAAAAAAATTTTAATATTGACGAAAATGACGATGATGAAAATGACGAAGATGATTACGATGAAAATGATTATGAAAGTGAGGATGAAAATAGTGATACTAATGATAGTGATACTATTGAACAGAATGAAAATATTACAACAATAGTCACCCCAAAAGGTAGCAACAATTCAAAGCAGGCAATACGTTTATCATATAATAAATTTTCTCAAAAACTTAATACTTCTGTAGCTGAAACCGAAGCAAATCATAAAGCAGACGGATCAACTACAACAAACACAAAATTTCAAATAAAAGTTTTTGGAAGAAACAAAACAAAAGTAAATAGCTCAACAATTGAAGACAACAATAAAGGAGGATACACTATTTCAAATAAAAAAATATCGACACCTGGAACCTACCTAAGAAAAACACAAAGACAAAACTTTTCTCTTGAAGTCACAACAACAGAAGCAAACGATGAAAATGACATAAGAACGACTAGTATTGACGATGTCCCTGAAAACTTTTCTACTGAAAAAGCTTCAAGCGTAAGCAATTATAACCAACAAAGGAGAATACCAACACGCAAGGTTTTTTTGAAAAGAAGAAAAGAAAACTCAGCTTCTGAAGATCAATCTTTTAAGAATAATGAAACATTTCATATAGATGATGATTCTGCTAATTTGACAACTAAACTTGTTTTGAGCTCTGATGCCAACAGTAAGCTGAGGAAGTTTCCAGAGAGGAAAATTTTTTCACTAAGGAAAAAAATAGAAAATTCTGTTATAAACGAATCGATTACAAACACTACGGATGATATAGATGATGATTCTGCTAATTTGACAACTAAACTTGTTTCGAGCTCTGATGCCAACAGTAAGCTGAGGAAGTTTCCAGAGAGAAAAATTTTTTCACTAAGGAAAAAAATTGAAAATTCTGTTATAAACGAATCGATTACAAACACTGCGGATGATATAGATGATGATTCTGCTAATTTGACAACTAAACTTGTTTCGAGCTCTGATGCCAACAGTAAGCTAAGGAAGTTTCCAGAGAGAAAAATTTTTTCACTAAGGAAAAAAATTGAAAATTCTGTTATAAACGAATCGATTACAAACACTACGGGAGGAATCAACAAGGCAGTTGAAACTAATATTTCGTCAACAATTTCTGACGCTGATACAGACACAGAAACCGACACAGTTGAAGGAGGTAGAAGTAAATATCTATTGAGGCAAGAAACAAAAAGTATCATTTCCGATTTGGAAAAAAATGAAGGCAAGAATAGTTCTGAAATTCCAAGTACTCCTCTTCGCAAAATATATTTCAAAAACAGATCAAAAATTTTCCAGCAACAGGATGAAAAAGTTAATAATGCCAGTCAATATGAAGAAAATTTGTTTGAATCTACAACAGCATCTGAAAATGAAAAGAACGACGATAAAGAAATCAATAATCGTACTTATGGTGGTTTCAATAGGTTTAGAATCAGACCAACGTTAAAAGCCAAAACTAAACTAGAAAATGAATCAAAGGTTTCTACTGATGAAATCCCGACATCCACAGTTGAAAATAAAGTTTCAACTGAAAAATCTAAATATTATTTTTCAAGACGAAAAACAACGCAAGTTCCCTCGCTGGAAACTGAAACCGAAGACACAGTTATTGCTTTGACAGAGTCACCAGATGAATCAACTGACACATCCGACCTAACTACTACTAACTCAAATGAATTTTCTACAACTATTAAGAGTATTACAAAAGTGGAAGAAAGTACAACAACTGACGACATCATAAATAAAATTGATGATTCAAATATTCAAGCAACAACTATTCATCCAATTTTCCATCGCAAATATACTTCGGTGAGTCGAACAAACAACATAATTGAAGATAGTTCTACTGCTAATACTGAGACAAAAAGTGATAAAGATGATGAAACTGACGATGATGAGGACTATGATGAAGATGACGATGAGGAAGATGATGAAGATGAAGAAGATGATGATAATAATAATGATCATAAGAACTTTGAAGAAACAAATAAAAGTAACACCACAGAAATTGGCAAAGAAATATTAAATGATGAGAAAGACTTGAAGGAAACTGATGAAATCACCAAACTAAACCCAGTTTCCACCGGATCAAAGTACGGATTTGTTAATAGACAAAAAGGAAAAACTAATCATGAAACTCAGGAAGCTTCAATTGAGGAAAACGCAACAATTCACAATATATCGCATTTATCAAATATATCTACTTCGGATATCAATACCAATAACCAGTTGAAGAAAATTCCCATACGTAGGATTTTCTTAGGAAGAAAAAAGACAGAAAATTCTATTATAAGAGAAGAAAATGAAAAGGATAATGCGCAGATAAATAACACCGATAGTACTAATAATTTAGTAACGACCTCCAAAATAGAAACTAATGGAACAATCGCAAGAGTTAGGAGTAAATTTGTATTGAAGAATAAAGATAAACAAACTGCGGTTAATATTTCGACTAACATTTTAGATTTGAAAAATAGTGAAGACAAAGAAAATTCCAATCAATTGAAAATTCCTCCTCGAAGAATATATTTGAAAAATAGATTTAAAACTAGTCAGGAAAAAGACGAAAAAAGTAATAATGTGACCCAATATAATGAAACTTCTGTTGAGTCAACTACAGAATCTGATAAAGCTGTTCGTGATAAAGACTCCAGTACTCGTTCTTATGGTAGTTTTAATAAATTTAGATCCAGAACAACATTGAAATCTAAAATTAAAATAAATTCTGAATCAAAAGATTCTACTGATGAAGTCCTTACAGACAATATTGAAAATAACATTTCTACCGAAAGATCTAAATATTATTCATTGAGAAGAAAAACAACAGAAACTCCTTCGCCTAAAACTGAAACTGAAGCAAAAGATGCTGTAACCGAATTACCAGAAGATTCGACTGACAGATATAACTTGAGTGTCTCCAAAGAAATCTTTACAACAACTATAAGTAATACAGAAACGGAAGAAAATACGGAAAATCTAGATTCAATCAATAAAATCGATAATTCAAACATTCAAGCTACAACAATTCATCCAATTTTTCATCGTAAATATACCTCTATAAATCGTTCAAATATTATAAGCGAAGAAGCATTAAAAGTTAAAAATGACACTGCGAGTACAACAACTGAAACTAAAGATGATGAAGACGACAAAATTGACGATGACGAAGACTATGATGAAGACGAAGAAGATGACGAAGATGATGCAGATGATGACGATGAAGAAAGTGATAGCAATAAAGGTAATGAAAGTAATAAAGAAGAAACTAACGGAAGTGATCGTTCTGCGCAATTAAAAGAAAACAATGATAAAGAAAATTTGAACCAAAGTTCCGTCACAAAAGTAAATCAATTTTCAAGTCGGCAGCAATACAGTGTCATTAACAGAGAAAAGGGCAAAATTGCCTACAATCAAAGTGATTTTGATAGTAATTTTGTAGATGAAAATAGTAATATTAAGCAACTAATATCGAATCGTAATCATTTAGAATCTTTAGAGTTAAATAATCAGCAAAATAATACCAATAACCAAAATCATACTAATTTAGAATCGGTTCAGCTTTGCAAGAACCATAATAGTAGTAATTGTATTGAAAGTAGTATAAATAGTAACTCGTTTGTAGACCAATTTTCTTCAAACAATAAAACTGATATTTTAGGTAACGACGTTAACCAAAAAATCTTTTTCCTTAATACCAATCGGCGATTTCAGAATGACTCCAAAGGAATAAACAATACTGATGCCCAGGCGAAAGGAAATTATGAATCAACAACTAAGCAAATAAATGGCCGACGAATACGTGTTCTTAAATTCAAGAGACCAGTAACAAATACTGTTGAAGATAAATCAATTTTGAAATCTAATTCAACAAAGACAGAATTCTCAGAAAAAAATGAACAATTAGATAGCACAACAAAAATACCATTAAGAAAGAAAGTTTTTATACGAAAAAGGCCTTTGACTACTACTATCGCTTCAACCGCTTCCGCTGTAGAACTTAATGAGGGAAACGCGACCGAAATAGAAAGTAAAGAATCTGAGTTTAAACATAGTGATAGACGCATCAAATATATTAAAAAAATTATAATAAAGAATGATACAACTACCGAGAAAAAGGGTACTGAAGTTGATGGCAATGAAAGCCTTACTATTGATTTGAAAAATTTGGATAACAAATTTGATGAGGAAGTTGCAGATCGTATCACAAATTTAACAGATAAAGAAGCAGTTACGAATTTTAGAGAAAAAATTTATTTAAATAGAAGACCCATCCGACCAACAAAATTACCTGGTACATCATCAACTACAAAAGACTTAGATGATTCAGTTAGTGAAAATGTTAATGACAGTTTGAATTTAACAAACTTAGATAGGGGTAAGTCTAAATTTCGAGTTGGATTTTCAAATATTCGTAATGGAAATTTCACTGAAAAGTCGGTGGCGAGTGAAAATGAAATAAAGAAAGCAAATGATTTGAATTACAAAACCATAGTACGAACCAACTATTTGAATAGAAAGGTTGAACAAGCTTCTATTGGAGATTACAATAAAACTATAATAAATGTAAATGAAAATGAAAACGAAAGTGAAAATAATGAACAGAAGAGCGATGACGATGAAGATGACGATTATGATGATGAAGATGATGACGATGAAAATGACGACGAAAATGATTACAATGATGAAAATTATGATAATAATGAGGAAAAACTCGAAAAAGATAAGGAAAAACCGTTAAATGAAAACTTTAACAAAATAGGTTTAATAAATAATTTTGATTCTAATTCTTTTAACAACCGAATCAGAACTAATTTGCAAAATTATACTAACCGTAGGCAAAATGTTCCTGTAGGTATTAACAGAAATATCACAACAAAAAAATCTAACAGATTTAGAATAAACAGACCTAATAATATTCCTAAAATTAGTAACAGAAATTTCCCAACCACAACACCCCATCCTATATCAAACCAAATCAGTGTTACAACTACTTTCCCATTAACAACACCCTCTATTTTTAAATCTACCAACACTAAGTTAAGGAAATACACAACAGTTACAAGCACAACTGAATCCACACTAAAAGATGATTTACTGTTAGATCTAAATGTAAATGCATTAAACGCTAGAAACAAGAAAATATTTGAAATTACAAGTAAGAAACACACAACAGTTAAACCAAAACCAAAAGAGCAAATAAGTATATTAGACAATGAAAATAACATATCAAATGTAAATGAAACACAAACAACAGATATATCAGAACTTTCTGAAAAAAATGTTAAATCCTATTCTAATAACGATTTGAATAATTTCCAGGAAACTGCATTAGAAAATTCAATTCAAGGATCATCACCAATCACTGAACAACCCCCCGTAACTACAACGCAAAAGGCTACCACATTTTCACATATATTTTCTGTTGGTAATATCAATGGAATATCAACTACAGAAATGTCTGAAATTGAAAAAGATATTTCTACAACTATAGAAAATGAAGAAAAATTAGTAGAAATAAACAGAGTAGTTGAAGTATCGTCGAAAGAAAATAAATTAAAACTAAAATCTATTGGTGTTGATTTAGATAATATTAAAACATCAGATATTAAATTGGTTGAACCACCTCATATTGATAAACTTGGTGAAATAAGTCGAGTTAAATATGTTACTCTTGTTGAAAGTGGCGAAGATTATTCTACAACAAAGTCTTATGATGAACTTCACAACGAAAATATAAAATACAATGATAATATTTTAAATGAAAGTGAAAAAAGGGGTAGACAACTTATTTTACCAGAAGTAATACGTGGAATTGAAACATCTACTATACCTTTGGAAGGACTCTTCAAAACATATCGAAAATCAAAAGCTAATGAAATTCATTACAATTCACCAGTATATGCTTTGTCATTAGGTGAAGCTTATATAACATCTAAACCGATTACTAATGACGACGATATATCATACGAGCCCGTATATAAAGGTGAATCAAAGGATGAAAAAATTCATGAAGATATTAAAACAACAACCTCATCATTTTTATTTGACACAACAACTGTACAACAAGATAGAACAACTAATTATATACGTCCAATTGTACCATTATTAAGGCCAGAATCTAATGAATCATCTCCATTAGTTATATCAATTGCTAACCTTGATAAGGTAATTCTCAGTAAAGTACCAAAATCTGATTCTAATTCGGCGCAATCTATACGTTATCAGACATACATTGATGCACCCAAACAAACAAATAATAAAATTAATAACAATATTGAAAATATAACAATATCCACTAGTAATCAGTTAAATGAATCAAATGATAGTAGTAGTCAAAAGCCCATAATACAAAATGTTAATCAAATACAACAAGAAATTATAACAAGTTACAGTAGTGAAACGCATGTAGAACATAAAAAAATTAAAAAAAAGAGGAAACACAAAACAACAACCGAAAAAAATTTGATTTAAAAACGTTTGTAGTTGAAATTGATCTTGTTTCTCTTTTGTAATTATTTTTTTTTTTTTTGTTTTTTTAATTCTTAAAATGTTTAAAATTCAATTTCGTGCTGCTAATATTCTAGTCCTTTTTGTTAATTTTGAAAAACAAATTATGTATGAAAGAAGCACCTTGAATTTTTGAAAATAACAACGTAAAATAAAATTTATGTTAAATTACGGATACTTCCAATTGCCATTTTAAACTTAGTACACTTTATTTAGGAACGGACGGAGATGAAAAGGAATTTAAGAAACGCTCCGAGTGTTAACAAACTAAATTTTAACCAACTTTAGTATAAAAATTAAAAAATTAATTACAAATTTTGTGCACATGTCCGATTGTTGAAAACCCGAAATAATTTTTTTTTCTTATTTTCTTTATTAAATTTCTTTACATACTTGTATAATTTTTTCATTTACATGTTTTTTTTTTTGATTGGCCTATTAAATAAGTGACAACCATTGTAAAAATATAAATGAAATTTTGAATCTTGTTTGAAAAAATTGCAGTCCTATTTCAATTTATGTATGTACAACTCGTGTAACAAATCATTTTGTCTTTTAACAACTGCAGGGAGCTTTTCCCATATTCCAGTTCTTTCAGTTTCAGTTGAGAAGGTCTAAAAGTTTCATGTACAAATTAATTGTTAAATTAAAATAAAGAACTAAAATATCGAAAAGCCCCCTCTCACTTTTCAATTTATTTTTTTTTTCATCGAAATCATAAAATCTTCTAAATCAACTATTTGATCATGTAAAAATTAACATGCATAGATAATTACTATGTTTTTTTTTTAATAAAATTATATGAGTGTGCTAAGTCAAATATATATTGTATAATTATTCGATTATGTAAATAGGCATTTATTAGATTTAAGTTTATATATAAGATTCATAATATAACAATACAAGAAAAAAAAAAATATTTTTTTTTTGTCAAATACATACAAAATTTTAATATAATGAGAGGAAAAAACAGATAAAAATTTGTTTAATCTAAAAATATTATTCTGTAAGATTTCGATAAAGTTTAAAAAATTTCAAATTTTGTCCTGAATTTCTTGCGCCGCCTTAAAAGGAAAAGAAACTAAAACAAAAAGGTCCTATTCCTTGTATAAAGCATAGAAAACTTTTTGTATTTTTTAATTTCTTTTTATTAAAGTTACGCAATTATTTTTTATGTAAGTGGGTTTGTTACAAGAACAAAATATTTAAAAAGTATTTGTGAGTCCAAACACACTTACGAATTGCAAATACTTAGGCCATGAATTTTTTTTTAAATTATTTAAATGTACAAAATAATAAAATGTAAAGAAATTACAATTTTTGGACGTGCAAGCAATTTATGTGATATTTGTTAACAAAACAAATTCCATGACTTCAAAATGCAGTAGTAATTGTATACAGCAATTATGACTTATAAGCTGTATTATATATTTTACTAATACCATATTACTGTAATTTTGAAGTCAGCAATATCTATTTATCCATACTACGTCATTATATTGGCTTTTAATCTAATATCACACTCAATTTGTTGTTTTAAGTGATTTTTAATTAATAAAATGCATAATTCAAAATTTAATATTTTTTTAAAAAATTACAATATTCAGAGTGTTTTGTTGATCAAACAAACTATGTGTGCAAAATATTAAAAAAACAAAATAATTTTTTCTGTAAATAATAATTACCTAAAAGTTTATAATTCCTTTGAACGCCATGCCATGGAAGCACATGAAAATTTGTTGAGTTTGAAATTAAAAACTTAAGTTCGGAAAAAGATGAAATAAAATTTATAATGAGAAGTACTTGTACATACATACATAAGGTACTTAATTAATGCGTAGTCTTATAAATAATATATACATAATTATTAAGGAAAATTTTATGTTGGGAGGCATAATTTAAATAAATAACCTTTATATCATAAATTACATATCCGATTAATTGTAAAAAGTCCGTAATTTTGCATATATTTGTACATTATATGTACATAAACTTGTTTGTTTATTTTTGTTAGTAAAACTAAAGTTATATTTTACAAACTCATATATGTAAATACATATACACATGTGCATAATATGTGTATTATAATTTGTACATAAGTTGCTCTCAATCAACATTTTTGTAAACATTCTAGAAAATCCTTGAGTTCTAAATTGCAGTCTACAATGTATACATAATACCGCTTATGAGTTTGTATATGGTATTATTGAATTGTATTACTGTAATTTTGAAGTCACAGTAAATATTGTGCTCTCCTGTACTATAAATATAAATTTTTTTTTTTGCAAAATTCATTCCTCTAAAATAAAAATATATATGTACATATTATGTATGCACAATAATATAATGATTTTAATAAGTAACTACTTATTTAATTACTTATGTAAATACATAATAGAAATTTTGACCTTAATTTTTTTTTATACTTTAAAAAAACCGAACGTCCTCAATTTTTAATTTTTAAAGATTTTGAATAGAACGATGTAAGACAAAATAAAATAATGTTTTCGAATTTATTTCAAATTATGCTCACGGATTAAGTTTTACTATTTGTAAATTTTAATTATTATTTGATCTTATGCTAATACACTTTATATTGACAAATAAGTTTTGAAGAAATGGTGTATTTTTTTCACTTTTTAATATTTTATTTTCTACGTTTAATGGTCATTTTAAAATACAATATTCTAACATATTGTATCTGCACTATTTTAATACAACAATCAAGTTCGCTTTTAACTTCCGAATTAGTAGTAAATGATTTTTATTAAAAATTTAAGTACTTTGAATTCTACTCTAAGATATTAAAATAAATTTCGAAATCAGTTTATATGTACCGCTTTTTGTTGCCCAACTCAGATGAGCAACAATGAGGCAACTAGTAGTATATGTAGTTCGGTATTGGGCTACAAATGCATATTTAAAATTTATTTGTAGTATAACATTTGCCGTTTTCCTTACGGTTCCTTTTAAATATGTAATGTCAAATTTCAAAACATTGCTATTTTTGATGACAGACAAATGAAATCTTCATAATAAAAAGTATTTAAATTTATTAATAAAATTTAATTTTTTATAAACGTACATGTAATTAACATTAATTTCGTTTAATATATTTTGTGTACAATTCATAATTTTAATTTTTTTGGTGAGTATAGTTTATGATATTAGAATCGTAAACTTTTATGTTTTCCTTCTTTGAAAATTTTCCTTAACTTTAAAATCACAAAAAAACGAATTTACAATTGCTTAAATATATTAAAATCAACAATAATATCGAGTAAAACCATTTCCATTTGGTTATGGCTTGAAATTTAGGGGGGTAGGGGGATAATACAAGATTTCAAATGGGCTAAGATCTGTTCTATATATGTATGTATGTACATACAACAATCAATATTATATGTAATATTATTTATTGCGAGTGTTTATATGAATTCCACCTAAAATATCTATTTTGTATGGTTTACCTTAAAATATGCTCGTAAATAGTAGTTTCTATTTTCATGTTTATTTAAAAAAAATATATACATATATATATACATACATATTTTCTGTATTATGGAGCTCCTTTTATATTCCTGCTTCTTCAATTCTTTTTTATTTACTATTCCTTTATATTTTATACTTTATCGATATAATTTTATTTATATACATGTAAAGTAAAATATTTTAGAAACACAAAAGCATTTTATACATACATGTATTTTTTAGAAACTATATTAACACAAGGATATTCAATTAAAGCTTCATAATACTCGTACAAGCTAATACCCGCACAATTATCTCTATGACTCAAGTAAAGGATAAAATTATTAAATATATAATAAATTTTTTAATCTTACAGTCACAATTAACTTTAAGACAAAATTCTCGACCTTTATTGAATCTAAGAAATAGGTCAACAACACAATTGCCATCCCATAGTGGAGTTACTTCAATAGCAACAACACTTTTAAATAGACGAAATAAATTTGATTATCGTACAACAGAAAAATCACAGACAACAATTTCTGCTGATGAAAATAGTACTCCAAGTATAGCTTCAAAATTAACTATAAGTAGAAGGAAATACTCGAGACCATCCAATTATACTGAAGGTAAAAAATCATATCGGACAACAACAACAACAACGACAACTACTGCCTCGACAATCAAAGGTTAGTGAAATTTAATAATATCATAAAATATTTATTATAGCTACCCAGTTTTTTCTTATTTTCTGCTTGTATGGTGTTAATCAAAGTATTTTTTTTAATTGAGCAGTAGACATACATTGATAGATTTTTATTTTATTAAATGCATTGTAAATTCGTAAAAATACCATAAATACATTAAATTTTTTGAAATCTTTCCAGATAATGAAACATCAACCAATCGTCTAAGAAATATGTTATTTAAGAGAAAATATTACACTACGACGATAGCTACAACAACTCCAATTTCTCCAAGTTCAACAAAATTGATCGAAAAAAATCGTCTACTTCCTAAAAAAGATAATGATCAAGAAGTTGATTCAAGTATTCAAGACAAAAAATTTTTAGACAAAAAAACTAATTATTTTGATAATGTTGATGAAAAAAATAAAGATGAAATATTAGTAGAAGCAATTAAAGCTATTTCTCAAGCACCAATTCCAGTTAGCATAACGAGTGCTAGTACCTTGAAATCAAATTTTTCTAGTTCAGACGCAATTGAAAACGGTGATACATTAAAAATATCAACACATCTTCCTGATAGAAGTTCTACTAGTCATAATATTTCCCATAGTAAGTCTTGGATTTTTCAATTTTTAAATTTAACAATTAAACATTGATATGATTGTATAGTAGATAGCTGCAGCAGTCAATGAACTAGGAGATGTAAATGGAGGGATTTATCGGAATGCCTTACTGCGCAGTGCAATGTTTTCTATTTTCACAATTTTTTATACATTTTCTTCGATTAATTCGATTATTCCACTTTTCACAGAATATTCAGTCTTATTTACACAATAATATACTCGTAAGAGTCGGTTTTAAATTTCTGTTATGTGAAGATCTTGTTGGTAAACAAGAGTCTTCTTCAAAGAAAAACGCTTTTTTGACTATTTTTTAAATTTTTTTGCACATTTATACTTGCGTCACTTTTTGTTGAAACGATGGTTTTCTATTATTGGAGCAATAAAAAATTATACATATGTAGGTTATTTATTGATAAATAACGATCGTTTCACTAAATTTGCGAATTGTCGGTAAATAAGTACAGTACATATGTATTTACTTCTACGACATTCGGTTTTCCAAACATTTGTTTGAAATTGAAAAGTCTAAATATCTACCTACTTGCCCGAACCTGCATTTCATTACTCTAACAATCGTACGGAAAAAACCTAGCAATTGGGCTAGAAAAACTTATAATACGGTTTAAGCTTTGTCTATTTCATCCTTCCATTTCAATATTTCTAGTTCATTTGCATATAAGGTTAATTTATAATTAAAATTTTTCAATTTAATATTAGAACAAAAAATAAGAACAACAATTAAAACAACTACACAACAACCGAGTTCAACAACAGAAATTATAAGACAAAAAAGGCCAACAAAAATTAGACAACCCTTTGATAGAGTTACTAGCAAACAAAAATTTTCGCCAGAGAATGTTTATCGCCCTATAACAGACTATGATTATTACGATGATGATGATGTTAAAGTAATAGCAAAATCTAATTCTCAGGTATTGTGCTAAATTAAATCAGTAATATTTTTAGATTTTATCATTTATAAATATGCATTTTATTTTTATTTCATTGATTAAGGTCAAAGTTATTTTACATGGAAGAGGATTAATTGAATGTTTGGATCAAGGTAATTTTCCTCATCCATTATCATGCCGAAAATTTATATCATGTGCTAAAATGGAAACGGGAGGTGTTGTAGGATGGGAATATACATGCCCGAAAAATTTAAGTTATGATCCAGTTGGAGGAATATGTAATTGGGCAGCTGGCTTAGGATGTAAGGATTAAAACTAAAATTTCTCATGAACTGTTACAATAATTACATGATTATATTATACTTGTATATATAATAAACTCATTGCAAGAAAAAATGAAAATATTTACTTAAGGACTGACTTAATTTTTTTTTTATAAAATTGTTTTATGTAAGTATGTAATAAGAAAATGAAATGTATATTTTTATATGTTAAGCATATGTATATATATACAATAAAAAAATAGATAAAATAAAATTAAATTAAAATTAAATTAACAATCTTTCTCAATATAATATGTGCGTATACTTATGCATGTACATAAAAAAAAGATAATCATTAATAGGAATGAATAAGGAGACTTATGCAGTTTAAGATTTACTTACATATGTATGTATGTAGTATTATGTCAATATTGCAATTTGTGTTAATGTTCAATGCAAATGCAAGAAAACTCGTGATGCTTTAATCCAAAAACCAAAAAAAAAGGGTAATTTTCTTTGTACCCAACATCTTATATGTATAACTGCTTGCAATGTTTATTTACTTTTGCTTTTGAATAGCTCTGACCAAAACTAATTAAATACCTAAGTATATACATATTTGCTTTGATTCTTTGTAATAGTTTATGTTAATTTACAACAATTTTAATGAACAAACGAGAATATTCATATATTTCATGCTCAACCTCAGCACAGCACTTTAAAATAATCTAGAAACTTTGAAGTTGTATGGCAAGTGGGACTAGCATATGGAACGATACATATTAATGACTTTTAATCAAAGTAATAATCACATTAGTGCATATGTTTGTATGAAATTTAAATACTATTCAATAGTTTCTGAAATATCGACGAGTAACTATAGAAGTTTTATGGTAGCTAACATAAAGACATGTAATCTCAAACATATTCTATTTTATATAAATTAATGACCTTATCATCATATTTATCTGTGCAAAATTTATATAATAAGGTTTGATCTATATCTAAATATGTAACAATTTAAGTTGTATGGCAATTATACAACCACATTCAATTTAAATAAAATTTTAGTATTGATTCTTATAACAAATCTGATGAGCTACACTCTCCCTTAGGCTACTTTACACTCTCTGAACGGGCGGAACTAAATCGACTCAGACGTTGAGCCAAAATATTTCTTAATAAAATAAAAAGTCAAAGCAAAAGTAAAAGAGGTGGGCACAATAGTTAAAATTTTTTATATTTAAAATTTATTCGAATATTTTAATCGAGATTTCAACATTTTTCTTATGAAGTTTTTTAATAAGCAAAAACAAACTTAAAACGTGTGTTTCAATGACACATGTACAAATGTAAAAATGCATCAGTTTGCTCAAAATGTTTTTTTTCCTCTAACGATGTGAGGAGGAATGAACAAAATTTGAATGGATTAAATCAAAAATAAATTACATATTTCAAAAATTGCAAAACAGTTGACTATTTCATTTTTAATAAATACTACAGACGTTTATTAGACTATTGTAAATGGTAGTAAATGAATGAAAATATAAAGGTATTGTTTCAAGCACGGTTTTAAGATGTATATAATGTATACAGAATGTATGCAAATACCTTTCATATTTTCTGATTATTTTTTTGCTCCAAACACGCAAATATTTTATATACACAATACATTGCAATAATTCAAGTGCGGAATTATAGTTAATTTTTGTAAACTATCATTTACACAGGTAGCTCTTAGAATTTCCTGATCACTCTGAAAAAATTCAACTTTTCTACAAATATCTTTTATCAGTTGTAATATTGTTATCCAAACCATTTTTATTTTATGCCGTGGTAGGTACGTACATATTTAATCGAAGGATTTATGAAATTTTTATACATATTTTGTGTATTAATGGAATATTGCGAATATCAACATTTCTTTTGATGTATTGTTATTTTAAATCTTATTTTTGAATTAAAATTTCCAAAAAAGTTTTGCAACTTTTTAACGTGTGGGAGCTCAATAAAAACAGAAGTCACAGAATTTTCTGTTAAACATTCACTTCTTTATTTTGCATACCAAACTATTTAATTTATGTAGTTTTTCTTGGTTTAGCTTGTGTTCCTTCACGGAATCCATTCCTAAAACGCCGTCTTACAACTTTTAAATAACGCATACGACCAGTTCCAGTGGTCTTCCTCCTTTTGGCTTTGATTGACCAATTATCTAAAATCGAATAAGTACATTATTTATTTATGAAAACTTTTAGTGTAACGATTTGTTAATATTAAAGTTTTGATAAAAGAACGTGTATGTTTCTATTATCAAAACTTCTTACTCTTTTATTTATCTGTGTGCTTGGGAATAGTGTTTTTGCAACAAAAATCCTCAAAATCACAGAATGTTTCTGAACTTAATTAAAGATAAACAATACATAAATGTAATTTAAGCTACTTACATGATCGTAATTTAGCTGATGGGTAACCACATCTGGAACATTGTGATTTTTGAATATGGTACGATGAACGGCCACATCTCCTACACAGGGTATGTGTTTTATTATGCCTCTTACCAAAACTAGATGTACCTTTCGTCTAAAATCATATTATTTATCCATTATTTGTTTGATTAGACTAATATATAGAAAATATTGTGATATTTATAGAACTGTTAATTGAAATAGTAGAGTCAAAAAGTAGTAGATATGACTGATGATTTAAAATTTATTATTATTTCTTCCCAGTACTCGTATTTACTTACCATTTTATTAACGAACGAGACCGGAAAGGAAAAGAAACGAAAATGTCAAAATGACATTAGTTCAGGGAAATGAAAATGATATTAGTGCCTTAAACGGCAACACTTACAAAATATTCACAATCAGTACTCGTACTGCTATGTATCACTATGTAGAGACATCGTGCGGAAAAAAACACACTCTTCCTGGGAACATACATTATAGGAATTATTACCGTTGTTATTTTTTCTGCAATCGTCTAATTATATAATTTTAGCAATAGATGTCGCGAATTTGTTTAAACTTTCCATTTTTTTTTTTACAACATTTTAGTAAAAGCGCCTACTTGCAAGAAAATTGTCATTTTGTGGATGTGTTTCAGGAAATTTTTTAACATAATTGCATGTTATCTTTAATTTCAGTATTTAAATCAAATTTTGCTTACTCCCTATATCAATATTTCAGTACCAAATAATAGATGGAGAAATAATAAAATACGTTAAGAGCAAAATATCGATCGTAAAAGTCCGTTAATATTAAGATACATACAATTTATGTAAATTCAAGAGCTTGAATTGCCTATATTTCAATTATTAATTTCAAGTGATGAATATATGTATTAAAGCGTTATGATTGCAATCAACGGTTTTTAGAAATTTATCTTGAGCATTATATTAATCAAAAATCAATTTTACGCTCCAATTAATTGCATCACAAATTTATAGGTAACACCATTAATTCAGAATATTATAATGTTTTTAATCAACGATAACAGTAACAGACCCGAATTGTGATTACCATGCACATACACACATTTACCTTACGTATACCTTACATACAAATATGTGTAGATATAGCCGTTATAATTTTTTCTCAATATTTTTTCTTTCTATGTTATCTTGTATTCTTGTCTTTCTTCTGTAAACTTATGAAAAAGAAATTATACCCTTATATATGTACATGTATATGTATAATTACAGGAATATTGCAAAGTTTATGTTTTATTAACGTAAATTTATTGAAGACAATTTATAAAATTGCCCATTCTATAACAATAACAATTTTTAAGATATAAGTTATGAAAATTCGTTTTTGTTTTTAGAAATTAAATTTTTTCTCTGAAACGTCTGTACAAAATTGAGTAAATTTAGTAGCCCTGTTTTAAAATTACAGTATTTTAAATTTCGTCGCGATTATTCAGAGAAATGACCTACATAATTAAAACATACTAACGAAATTGAAATGACCTGAAAACCTTCCTGCATATTTTCTCGTGCATTCAAAGCTGACAAATTATTTTTACAAATTTCTATTTTATTCTTAAATCATTACCGATATATACACATACATATTTAAATTACATAATAAATTTTTACGTACGTGTGATATTTTCAATTTAAGTTTTAAAAATTTCAAGTTACTCGGCAGAGCTGCCAATTAAAAAATTGGCAAATTTCATTTTTACTATTTTTCCATGTATTAGGGCCTCGATAGGGAGTTTTTTTAATTTCTTTTTTCCCTAAATTTGTTCAGATATAAAGCAGAATAAGCGGGCCCATAAAATTTAACTGACTGCGCTAGCAAGAACTATCAGTTGTCACTCAATTCGAATCTTCGAAAACCGGGCACTCCTATTGAAAATCCCGTTACGAGATCCGATTTTTTTTTTAAGATGTATTCCAGATTCTGCAAAATTTTATTTCGGGAAGTTATTCATATATGCATATGATTTTGATTTGATTAATAATTTTTTTTGCCGAATTAATTAAAGTAGTGCAGAAAATATTGTATTTTTTTTTAAATAGAAGTTTTGTAATTATATAATAGCAATTTAAATATTTTTTCTATATGTAAAATATTTATTTCTATACAAACATAATCAAATGAACATAAGGCTAAGAATTTACACATCAAGTTTAATTTACAAAAAAAAAATAATCAGAAATTTATTTAAAATAATTAAATTTAATTATTCTTACATTAAATAATAAAATGTTTTTCAAATATTTTCTTAATAAAATACACATTTCATTTTATATTGGAAAATAAAATTAAATTAAATTTTCATGAATTTACTTCAAGCGCAAACCCGTTTTATATTCCAACGTTTTGTTTTTAATCAATTTAATTATGATTTTTAGTTAAAAAAAATTTTTCTTAGAGTACTACAGTACAACACCCAGCTTATTGTAGTAGCATTGTAGTGGTACGAGTAATAAGTTTTTAAAAGCAGTAAAAATGTCTTGAAAAAATCTTATTGAATTTTGTTTTATTTGTGGTTTGTGACGATCTCTTTTTATTTTCCGTTTCTTCTCGTCACTTAAATTATTATAGTATAATTTCAGTATTCGTTTGTGAAAGTTCATAAATGTAGTTTTATCCGCGATTTCATATTAGCTTTTATAACTTTTTTTTTTGTTATTTTCTATACATTTTAATTTTTTTTTCAAATCACCTTAGAGTAAAAATTTAAAATTTAACAAATGGAATATTATTATTAATAAATTTTTATTTTAAAGAAATTTGTTTGTTATTTTTTTTTTCTTGTTGTTGTTTTTGGTTATTTTAAAGGAAGGGCATTTATGCATCAATGTTGTTATTATTGTAGTGTGAAGAAAGTTTTGTTATTAGAAAATTTAAAAATTTGTGCAATTCCAAATTTTGTATTCAATTTATGAATAAAATTTGTAAATCAAATGAATAATTATTTGTAATAATAAAATAAAAGTTTTTCGATTTTAATTATGATAAAAAAAAAATTAACCAAATTAATTACAAAATATTAATAAAAAAAAATATATACATATATATAATATTAATTGTGATTTCGAAAATTTCAGTGCAACTGTTGAATAAATTTCAAAAAAAAAAAAAAAATAGTTTTGCCAACTAATGCCAAATATATTTATTTGTAATAAATTCATATTGGAAAAAGAAGTGTTGTTTTGAATACCTTCAAGGTATACATATGTATATATGTTTGTATATATACAAAAATACATTGCATTCAACCACGTATACAATTAAAATGGATTTAGTACACACATAATTAAACTAGTATAATATTATATATATATGTATGTATGTATAACAATTTATATTTATATAAGTATTTTTTACATACATTTTATTCGCGTACGTTGGTAAAATACGTACGTATAGAAAATTATTATTAGTGTCTTTTTTTTTATTTTTATATTATATTTTAACATTATAATTTTTTTAACAATAATAAACCGATTGTAGTTTTATACTCAATGTTGTTAATACACATAGTACGTTACTTTCCTTATTACTTTACGCGTATTTTTAGAAAGTCTCTAATATCTTGAAAACCAAAACCAAAAAACAAAAAATGAAAGATTATTAAAAAGTTTACCTTTGCGAATGAAAGAAAAAGTGTTAAGTAAAGAAAAAAAATATTTTACGGTAAAATATGAATTGAAAGAGAAAAAGGTGTTAAAGTTGAGGTACCTGTTTAGTATGTCAGGGTTTTTTCTTTATTAATATATATTTGTACATAATTATGTATAACATATATAAAAATGTAAATACATAAATGGATAACAATATTTTGCACATGTATCTTTGTATGTATATGACTATCATTATCAAATGTCAGCTGTTATACTTGAACAAATAACAATGTTTTTTTTTTAATGAGTAAAGGTACATGGTATATGATTACAATGTTTATGATTGCTTATTAAATAAAATAAAAATTATATTTGATTTTGTTTGCATTCGGTGTCACTCTTTGTGGCGCATATTTTTGACTCTTGCTTCACTTATATATAACGACACGAAAGTTAATATTTTCGGAAAAGATATTTTGGAATCGGTTCATTACAATGTCTACCAGGGTGATAGGGTTATAATTGGATAATGGAAATATAATTCACTTATACAGGTTTTTTTGACATTTAAATTCGTGAATTCCCGGTTTAATATTTATGTTTTGACTTTATAAGCTTTTACATAAAAAATATTTAAGACACAATAAATTTGTTAAATCATTAAATAGGAAAAACTTAATTTTTAATTAAAAATTTATTTAAATCTCCAATTAGTAAATTTACTAAAAAAATTGCATATCAAAAATTAAATTTGATAATAAATCACAAATTCTTAATGCTCAACTTTGTTTTGTTTTCATTCCAATTGCCAAACTAGATTAATCTATAATAAATTTTCGTACAAACTAACATTATACTTTATTTAAAAATATTTTTGATTGCATTACAAGCAAGTATCTTATTTTTTTTAACTGTATTTGTAGTCATTCTCAACTATTTTCATATACCGGGGTGCAATGCGTTAGATTACATGACTTACGCATTTCATATCGCAGTATTTTTCTCTATAGCTGCGCGTGAAATGCCAATTATCTGCAGCTTTCGATCGACAATAATGCTAGATTGTTTATTATACTAGTATGTTTATATACATACATACACATGTACTTATTCATGTTCATAAGACTTACAATACCCATGTCTCCTAAGACTTTATTTTCAAATTTTCAAAATAAGCTCTTACATAATATAATATTTTAGTCAACTTTAAAGTTTGTTTTTTTTTTCAAAATATTATATTGTTAAAAATACAAGGCATTCAATTTTAAACATTATTTTTAATAATTATCACATGAATTCGTATACTTATGTACATAAAAATGAAAATTTGGTTTAATTCAAAAGTAAATTGAAAAATTTGTATGAAATTTTATATGCAACGCAGTAAATTGTTGAATTGATTTGACGGAAAGAAATTATTTCCACTTACAAATTAAGTTTTTAAACAAAGAGTTTCGTGTAAATAATTATTTATTATTGTAGACTGTAGAGCGTAGACAATATATATATGTATAAAGTTTCTTACTAAAAAAATAAAAGAGAGAACAAGTTTATAAATTATTTCTCCGCAAGTTATAAAAAAAATGCAATGTCAGTGTACTTAATTGCCAATTTGCTTATACATATGTATATGGTAAAAGAAAAATGTATATTTTACATGGTAAGTGTGTCCGCGGTTGTAATTCAACTTCTTTTTAGTGGGTACTCCGCTCACTATAAGTTGTGAAAGTTAAAACCTAAAAAAAGTTACAAAAACCTTTGGTTAAAAAACTTTATGACATTATGACAGACATGTGTAATTATGAGTTTTTAATTTCAAGTGATGAAAAGTATCGAGAGAAATTAAATTTAGAAAAAGAAATTTATAGTTAGTTTCTTCTATTTCATCTTTCGTACTACAGGGATTCCAATAAAAAATGTGTTAAGCTTGTACCTAAAAATTGTATAAAGTAGATAGCTCTTTTTATTTGTTTTACTTTGATTTACGATAATGAGCACAATGAAAAAAATTATGGCTTTTGTCATTTAGTATTTTAAAAATGTGCGGATACCCCAACACCAAAAATGCAGTATTAATGTCGTACATTGCATTTGTAATCCATATTGCAGAATAAAAAATTTATACAACGTGGCAAAATACAAATTACTGAAAATGGGTTTTAACTACGTAGTATAAAAAAGCAAAAAGTGCAAAGAAAAAACGAGACCACTTTTTTATTGCATCTCAAAAAAGTATTGCTAAGGTTATTCAATTAAAAAATTTGACAAAAAAAAAATGTTTTACTACGGTATTAATGTTGCAGCTAAACTGTAGTAAAACTTTTTCACTGCATTTTCGATGTCACTGATATTGAGCTCTTATTCTATGCCTACATACATAGATAAATATAATAAAATTTTATAAAAACTATTCAAGTATTTCAAAAAATAAATCAATTAACTTTTAAATTCAGAATTTGTTCTGCTACATAAAACTATAATTTGTTTTTTTTTTTTCTAAAAATTCCAAAAAACTCAAATACGTAATTTATTAGGCATTTTTATTGTGAAATTGTAAATTTGACAGTTTAGTAAAAACCAACTTTCACAGCTGCAAAAAATTTTGCAATTGGTTTCCTCAAAAATCTAGATTTGAAGAAAACAAAATCTGAAAATTTCAAACAGGATAAGAGAACATTTGTAGGTTTTCATGCCGTAGTTAGTTGTCAAACTTATTACAAATTTAATATACATATACATAGAGACTAAACTTAGTGCTATAACCTTAATATATGGAAACATAAATTTAATAAGTGTAAATTAAATTAATGCCTAAAAAGCCGTATTTCCTTTTTTTTGGAATAGTTTAGTTCGTAGCTAAGGCTTAATTTCAAATAGCCAGTTTTTTTTTTCAAAAATACTTTCTGGTAACAATATTTTTTTTTAAGTAGAAAAGTAATATTTTTTTTTATTGTTAAAACAAAAAACAACTTATTCCATAATTAATTAATTAGTTTGACTATAATTCTTATATAATTTTACGTTTAGCCATATTTTGCTCACGTATTATACAACACCTTGTCAACAATACATAATAAGTATAGCTATGAATGTGTTAAAAGATAAAATATAAATAGGCTTCTTAAAAAAAAAATTAATGTGAAAAAAATTATCATTTTTTATTTCAATTTTTTTGCCCCATTACTATAGTAGAGTGATTTTGAAACTTTGATTTTAGTAAAAGTTAAAAGGCAACCAATAAAACGCTCAAAGTTCAACAAAATTAGAATGTATGACAACATAAAGAATGTGAACAGATTAACTTACTCGTAATACGCCAGATGTCAATATTTGTTATTTTAATTAAAGTTAATCCATTTGTTTAATCTTTAGTTTGACTAAGAGGAAAATCATTTGAGTATATTTTGTATTTTGCCAAAACGTGCAATGAAAATGAAATCGTAATGTGGGGTTTAATATATTCTATATATTTTATATAGAGTTTTAATTTCTAAAAACCGGTTCTTTATATGAGTCAACACTCTTTTCGTTGTAAAATGGCTATGAAATTGTATTTTCTGCTTTCTATGTCTTTGAATTAGTTAGTAGCCATAATGTGTGTCTCAGGTTCCAAAGTTTAGTTGGCTTTAAAAACATAGTACTATGTTTGCAGTCTGTCGGTTAAGTATAAACTTACTGGCACAACTTTTAAGAACTCAATCGAAATTGTAATTTATTTCTTTGCTGCCAACTGCGTGTTGACACACAAAAAAGTGCTGCTCCATTCGATTTCTTTTTTTTTTAAATAGCTGTCTTCTTGTACTATCTTAGTTTAAGCTTGCTGCCAAAAAAAATTTCGATAGTTAGTCCTGACGGAAATTGTTAAAACTAGTTGCAAAGAACGTAATAAAAGAAGCAAGGATTACTGAATTTGAATTTGAAAGACAAAAAATTTAAAAGTTTCACTGTTATACTTAGCACTCCTAAATATAAAAAATATTTTGGTAAAATTTTGACTCACAATATTTCAAAATTATATCAATATGGTTCGATATTGTTATTTAACATAATTATGGTAAATAAATATAGTACGATATTAGGTTATGAAAGAAGAAAATCTAGTTGAAAGTTAGCTGCACTAAATACACACCTAATCATACATACATGCATACATTTGAATTTATATTCATGCAAAACCCATTAGTGGTACCGTAGAATGTTTTTTTTCTAATTCTCTCTACTCTTTCGGTTTTATAAAAGAAAAAATTTCATGCTTAGAAAAATATATGTTTATGGGTTTGTTTATACACAAATATTTATATACAAGGTCATTCTTATGATTTCATTTTAATGTATTGTTTTAGTTAAAATATCTTAAAATTGAGAACAAAGCTATTATTATAGAAATAAGCATATAAAGTTGACCGTGTCAACTATGTGATATGCTTAAGTATACAAATTAATATGCAATTATTATGAAGCTGCATTATGATTGTTACATACAGAAGCAATTATTTTTGTAGTTGTGTAGTAGGTACGGTACCACAATTCATTTATTTAAAATGTCGGTCCTTTTTTTTATAAAATATCTTATCCATTTACAGTATCTTATCCATTCCTTCGCGCATGATTTAATTCTGAATAGGTTTTAGGAATAGGAGTGGCATTTCTGATAATTTGTGACTTACGAGTTATAGTCGGAAGAGACGGAAAGACAGACAAAGTTAAATTTACTTAGAATTCCACACTGAAAAAGAGAAAATGCGTTGCAAACGTGTTGCTAAAATTATAATATCCCACGAACTTAGTCCGTACAACTATGAAAATAGTTTTGTTTTTTACCGAAACAAATTCTTAGCTTTAAAGTGGCATATTTCAGGTATGTATGAAAAATTCATAAGCCTTGATAGGTCAATACTATTTATTTAAATTATTGATAAATCTTGTAAAAAAAAGTGAACTTAGTTTAATAACAACTTTTTCTATTTTATATACATACACATTCCTAAATCAAATTTTTGTAGTAGAAATCTAAAATTTTTAGCCTAGATTTACATGCATTTTTAGTATGCATAAGTCTTTTGTTCAGTACACAACTGCAATTAGAAAAAGTTTTTATAGCTTGTTGCTTTCTTTAATTTAATTTGAATTTAATTTTAGAATTTTTGATAGAATAAGTTTTAGCAGTTAAATGTAGTGCTTCGTGACACAAGAATAATTCACTTAAAAATAACACACATACATAAGTATATACATAATAAATTATATAAAACTATAATTGTAGTAAATGCAATGTAATTGATAAAATTTTACAATAATGTACTCAAAATAACGGTTCTTTTTCTAAAATGAATACAAAAATGATTTAAAAAACCAAAAAATTCGCAGTTATCATGTAAGAGTGACTTTTGTAAATGAAATGCTTGTAAAGAAAAAAATTTATATAACTGTAGCATAAGTGTTTAAGATGCAATCTTTAACCAATTTATTATTTTTTATATTATTGCTTTGTAACGGAATATTTTCATTATCGGACGAGACAGGTGAGTTTATTTTTTTATCTTATTTTATTTTTGTTGTTTTGAATTAAATTTTTTGGGTCGAAAATTTGTTCTACGAGTAATAAAGAAAATAGTTTTTACTTATAAATTGTTGTGGCAGCAATGTGAAGTTTTGCTCAGATACATCAATACTCTAATATAATCGATTACTTAACGAAATTTCGAATTAATCTTTGAAGACCCACTTAATGCTTGCTTAGTAATATGACATAAATAAAATTTTGGAAATCCAAATTCAAGTAAAAGAGGTTTAGTTGCATTACAATTGAAAATTCATATACATACGCAGCTAGAGAAAATCAAACCTCTCTTGCAAAACATACTTACCTGTCTTAAAGGTTTTTTTCTAGAAAATGGTAACACTTTTTCCTTCTATTTATTTTTAGCACTTTTCCAAAAAGAAATTAGAAAAAAGGGCTTATTAGCTTCACTCTGTTCGTCCGTGGACCCGATTAAAAAACTGAAGAAAAACGATTAAAAACTAAAGATAGAAAGCTGAAATTTCATATGTACACAATTCTTATCTTTCTGCCTCCTCTAGAAGTTGGAACTCCTTGAAATGCCATTTTTTGACTACTTGTTTTAAAAAAACCATAAAATTTTTTTCAATTTCGTTAACGCAAGTAGGGCTTTTTCCATTGCAGCGAAGCATAACTAAATATTATAAAAGCAAAATGACTGCTTAAATTTAGGGGTCTGAAATTTAAGCAGCTTTTAGACTTTTCTAAATAGTTTATTTCGTTAAAAAAAATGTTTTTTAACCGCCACTCTTTCTCATTTGTAGATACGGCTCATTTGTAGATTGTTTTTGACGACGAGTGTTGTTGTACAAACCATGGGTTTCACCCATCTTAATTTATACCAACCATTGTTATATTTATTTACACCAAATTCATATGGTATTTTAAAAATAATACTATATTTAAATAACATTACAGGCAAAGTGTTGAAACTAAAAATGACAAGATTAATTCCGTGTTAAATTGAAAATTGCAATTTTATAAGGTTTAAATTTACCTTGGCCCTGAAAATTTGTAAGAAATTTGTAGTAATTATTGCAGTACAAAGCAAAAAAAATCAATTTAAACATAAGAGAATAAAAAACCTTGAAGTACACATTGTTTTTTAAGTCATGCTAGCTAGGTACTTAAATCTTTTAAAAAAATATTCTTAATAAACATTAAATCAATTCGTTTATTTTTTAATTAAGACAAAAGTATGCAAAATCAAACTTTCAACAAAAACAAATTTTAGAATTTTCACTTAAGGTGACGTACAGTGGCTCCTATAGTTGTTGAAAATAAAAATGAAAGAAAAAAATTTCTAATACAGAAATTTTTTTTCTCTCCTGTAGGCTTAGAAGCACTGTTATAAAATCACTTTGAGACCTATACCAATACTTATTTATGTCTAAAAATTTTGAAATTGATTTTTGGTTAGATTTTTTAATAATATTAAGAGCAATAAAGCAGAATATCGCTTTCTGCAGACTTTAGTCTTTATTGTGAATATTGTATGTATAATATTGTGTATATGGCAAATCTACTAAATTAAAGATCTTACGTCAACCCGACTAAATTAGTTTAGCAATTAAATATTGTAATTGTCAATAAATGTTGTAATAGATCTGCTTTGTCCAAGATTGCTATAATTTGAAGTAGGCTTCTTAGTGCTATATTAAAAATTAAATTTAAATAATTATGCCTTTGATTTATATTTTTTGTTTTGTTTTATTATTAGAAAATGCCAGTTATCGATGGCCATCAAAGAGAGAAGAGGTATTGGATGAAATAAATGACGCTCAAATATTAAAAGCGGTTCAAGATTCTATGAAGGAATACAATGTAAAAATTTCGAAAAACAAAAGGTAAGTATTTGTAATTGTCTTTAGAAAACCCATAAAAAATTTAAGAAACCTTTTAAAAAAATATTCAATTAATACTAAAATTTTTGCCTACCAAAATAATGACAAATTTTCTTATCAAATTTAGTGAGAATGACTGAATATTAATTGCTCGTGTAAACTAGTTTAATAATTTTTGATATTTGGAGGTTTTGCCTAAATTTTAAATCTCAAACACTTTTTCATATATGTATATCATTTCTGATATTATATTACATTTTTTGAGTCCATTTAAAAAAGTTTCCTAATTTTGTCTTTTGTGAGCTCTGAAAACATTCAAAGTCAATGCACTTCTCTTAAAAATTTACCAAAGTTTTTCTCAAAGGCAATCTTTTATAAAAAGTAATATTCAAATTTTTTAGAGCTAAAAGATCAACTAAAAGGGTTTGCTATGATGAACTGGGATGTTTTGAAGATTCTGGCCCCTTCAGTTACTTGGAAATGCTTCCATCTCACCCAGAAGATATAAATACAAAGTTCTTTTTCTATTCTGCCAAAAAGAGGTAAAATTAAACAACAAGTTTTTTAACGAATAGATTATTTATTAATTTTGAATATATTTTAGGACCGAAAGGCCTCTTTTTCAGATACCATGGAAAAATATAAGCGAAGCTTTTACACCAAAAACTTCGGTTAATGACGGTACAACAGAGGATCCAACTCCGTTTTCGAAGACATCTTTTACTTTAGATGATTTGACTGGTTTTGATGAATTACAAACTAAAGTGATCGTACACGGCTTTGGTTCAGCTTGTCCACATGTATGGATTTATGAAATGAAAACTGCATTAATGGCAGTTGTAAGTATATGATTGCATATTTAGTGTACAAAAAAATTCAAAAATTGAAAAAAATTCTCTTTATCCTTCATTTATAAATCTGGAAAGGAAAATTGTATTGTAATTTGCGTTGATTGGGAAAACGGAGCAACTCTTCCAAATTATGTAAGGGCCGCAACAAATACAAGACTTGTCGGAAAACAACTTGCAATGCTTTTAAAGAATTTAAATAAACATAAAGGACTTGACTATTCAAAAACCCATATAATTGGCTTTAGTTTGGGAGCACATGTTGCTGGATTTGCAGGTGCTGAACTACCGGGTTTGAATCGTATAACAGGATTGGATCCCGCTGGTCCTCTTTTTGAATCTCAACATCCGAAAGTACGGTTAGATAGTACTGATGCAGCTTTTGTTGATGTAATACATTCGAATGGTGAAAACCTGATACTTGGTGGGCTAGGATCGTGGCAGCCTATGGGTCATGTTGACTTTTATCCGAATGGAGGAAGAGTGCAAACTGGTTGCTCTAACTTGTTTGTTGGAGCGGTTACGGATTTCATTTGGTGTAATTTTAAAAATTTAAATTTTTCTCTTATATGCATGTTAAGTAATCATTTACATTATTTACTTTAAATTTTAAGCACAAGCAGCTGAAGTTGAAGGCAGATCATTATGTAATCATCGAAGAGCTTATAAATTTTTCATTGATTCTGTTGCGCCGAGATGTCTTTTTCCAGCATTTGCTTGCACAAGTTATGATGATTTTTTGGAGGGAAACTGTTTTCCATGCGATCTTCTTCAATCACGGTATAATAGTAATATATCCATTTGTGGAAATATGGGCTACTATGCAAATAAATCTACCGGAAAAGGTCAACTCTATTTATTGACACGTGAAGAGGAGCCATTTTGTGCTCATCAATTTAAATTACAAATATTCAATTCCATAAATGATTTACCTTTGAGAACCATAGGCAAAATAGAAGCAACCCTTGAAGGTGAAGGTGGATTGAATGAGACGTTTTTGATTACTGAGTGAGTAAACGTTAAATTATATTTTTTAAATTAAACGTTCGGTCCAATATTCTAACGTGAAACATTTTATTTTTTCTTTACGATTTAGAAAAGAAGACACGGAATTTTTTGCTGGACAGAAAATTTCTAAAATTATTGTTCCACATCCGGCACTTGGATTCCCTTCAACGTTAATACTGCAGTACAAATCGTATAGCGGGTGGTTATCAAAAGGATTACCTCACTGGGATATTGACAAAATTGCGTTAACTGATAGCTTCGGTAGAACACTTTCATTATGCAGTCCACTTTTGTCGCTCAAATCAGGGATACCAGTTACCTTCAAATTACAACCTAATGATTGTGAATTACCTAAATCCATAGAAATTTCAACTGCTTCACTAAACTTGTCTTCCGAGCAGTCTAATGAAAAAGTTCCTGGGAAGTATTTTGAAGAAAATATTCTTGATAAAAATAAAATTAAAAATGATATTCTGACTCTAGGAGCAAATTATGCAATTGAAGAAAAATCTGATCAGAAAAATTATCATAGTTCGCATGAAAACAACAACTTGTTATATCAGCCACTTCAAGAAGGATCAAATGATTTGGATAAAGAAAATATTGAACAAAGTAGAAGTTTAAGAAGTCCTGAAATTTTCGAACCAGTCTTAAAAAGTTCATCTACATATCAAAAAGGGAGAAATTTACACAGTTTTGAAAATGATAGTGAAATAAAAGAACCAATTCTAAAAGCCACTACACCAAAATTAAATAAAAATTCAGGGGAAGAAAAACAGATTGAACAGAAAACTGAAACAGAAAGTAATAGATCGGAGGGAGATGTAATTACAATTCAAATATTTCCATTTAAAATTGGAGAATTATTTGAAAGAGCCGAAAGATATGCAAGAGAGACAATTTTACCTATTTTCTCAGAACAAGCACCAAAGTTATTAGGTTTCATTATGGATAAAAAAGAAGGGGAAAGAAAACCAAGATTTATTAAAGAATATGATAAAGGTTTTAAGAATGTGCAAAAATCAGATATTCAAAACAATGGAGAAATTGGATACAAAACCAATACTCAAATATCGCCCAAATTTAACTTTATGAATTATAGAGCTTTAAAAGCAAATGATCGCAGTGATTTAGATGTATCAGAAACAATTCAAATTGGAAGTTTTGTACCCGTTCATATAGATTTACCAACATATCGTCCAAATATATTTTAAGTATTCTTATATTATTTAGTAGTTATAATTTTGTTTGCAAAATAATTATACAAGTTACTAAAGCCTGTAAATATGTATACAACTTATATATATATATATACATTAGTATATATATACAATTTATATGTAATTAAGCATATTATGATGTTTTTTTATATTTTTATAAATTTTAATCATCCAATACAATAAAATTTTAAATAAAAATTATGAACGAAATTTTTAAATCAAATCATTTTGTAGATAATAATGGCAATTTATTTATCATTATTTTTTAAAATATTACAAGAAAAGTTTCGCCAAAATGATATTAATATTTTTTCATTGTTTTATTTTTTTAAACAAGAACTGCCAGAATATGAGTGCTTTATTTTCATATTCAATGTAGAAATTTTAAACTTTTTCTGAGAAAACTTAATTGTAATATAGTAACAAGTTATTTAAAGAATTTCCACAAAGCAAATTTAATTCGTCTTTTAACTATACAAACGTGTACAATAGGCGTTCCCGGTTATTACTTATTTTTAACAAATTAAATTACATTTATGCATAGCATAAAATAAATAAATAAATTTCTCCTAAACTTATGCAAAACAAAAGTTAAATAAAAATTTGTAATTTAAGAACTTTTTTAAGAACACCGGTGTCTACGAATAACCTCAAAAATAGTTTAGTGTTATCTGCAATATAAATGTCTACATTACAAAAAAAAAATATAAAAGGCTTTGTTGAACTTGAACCTGTTGGAAGTGAACATTTATTTATTAAATTATTAAAGCCTTAATACAAATTTAAATAAATTTTGAATGTAATTTATTGACAAACGCAGCCATATGTCAAAAGCCGAAATAGTCTCATTTGGAAAAAAAATATGTTATAAATCATATTTTATCAAAATAAATAAACAAAATGAGTTTGGAATGTGGAAGTGTGGTGCGGGCGTTCATAAAAACCGCTTTATAAAAAATAAGAATTGATAATGCAAAATGTACATTGGATATTCTTTTGCATCTTAATCGATATTGTAGTTTACAGAAGAACATTGTAACTTTTAATCTTCTCAAAAGATAAAAAACAAATGTCACGTAATTAAATAATGTCAATTGCCTGTCATCATATTTTTAAAATTTTTTTGCATTTTTGTGATAAAAAAATTTCAACTGTTGATTTTGTATTTTGTGTGAAATGGAAAATTTTCAAGGCGATAAGAAGCTTTATTTCATGAAATTTGCTTTTAAAAATATTTAAATTAAAAATAATTTGTTGCTAAAGCAGTTTTTAAGCGGTTGCATACCAAAAGTTGTATAATAAAGTTGGTATGCAAAATTTATTTTTTTAGTGCAGTTGCCATTAGATGCAGTTATTGTCGACTGGCATTTTACATTATCGATGACACCTTTAATCTGACATAACTATGAAACTTATTTTTGGCAAAATTTATTTTAAAAAACTCATTTTGATAGCAAAGAAAGCAATTTTTTTCTATTGAATCGAAAAAGCCTATTCATTTGTCCATTTGGGCATTTGTGAATAAAGCGATGTTAAAAATTAAAATAAATTAAAAAAATCAATTTTTATATATTTTTTTTTATTTATTTTTTTTTTTTATTTTTTTTTTTTGATTTTGTTAGATATTACCCAGGTATATTTCAAATGAAAATATTTTTTTAGTAAATATATTTTTATATTATATTATATATATATATATATATATCTATGTATATATATACACTTATCTATATATATATATATATATATGTACATACAATTTACTTTTACATAATATTTTAGTTTTATTTCAAAATTTTTATTTAAAATAAAAATTACAATTATTTTATTATGTAAATTTAATTTTTAACCCTATAACGCCAGCGTTATAAGTTTTTTTTTTGTTTTTTACATGCCAGTTTTGTTTACTACAATTTTTGTTTTTTTTTTTCATTTTTTTTTTCTTTTTTAATTAAATGTTAAATATTTTATAATGTATAAGCTTTTTTTGCTGTTATTTTACTTTTTAAATTTATTAAAGATTTTTCTATAATTCTCTTAAATTTTATTATTTTTTTTTTGTTTTTCTTTTGTTGTTTTTGTTATTTATTTACTTTTAAATTTACGCTATTATAATAGTTAATTTTTTTTTGTTTTTTGTTTTTTTTTTTTTTTGTTGTCGAGGAAAATTTTTATGTTTTAAGGCATATATGTATATGTATACATATAAGCATATATGTATGTATAAATATATACATATATGTATAATAGAATTGTGTAAAAAATGTCATCTAGGCGTTTATGGCTTTTCAAGTTTTATAATGCAAGATGTTTGTTTGTTTGTTTGGTTTTTAGAAAAGAATACAAGATCAGAATTGTTGCTTTTTTCATCTAGCTAAAATAAATTTAACGGTATATATGTAAAAATACAAAATGAAGGATATATTTTTCTTCCATATGATGTGGATAAGAAAAATATTTACAAATATTTTAGAAAATTATTATGAAAAAGATAAAAATATTGAAATAACGTAAGAGTATACAAGGTGTCCGGCGAAGAATTATAAAAAATAAAAAATTCCAGTATTCAAAAGCAAAACAATCATGCTTATAGGATACAGCTAGGGTCTTCCGCCTATTATTCTTTCTAACTGAAATGGCAGGTGTAAAAAAATATATATATATACATTTTATATACATATAGGTAATTTGTATAATAGGCATACATATACAAAAATAGCAACTCGTAAAATTTTTCAAAGTCCTTTATGCTCTTTATGGAATTAAAAAAAAATGTTTTTAATTATTTATGGAATTAAAAATTTTCATTTCATTTTTGTGTTGTTTTTTTTATTTCTGTTACTTTAGTTGATTTTTTTTAATAGCACCCACTCTAAAAACAAAAATTTAAAGAATGTTTATAGGTTTTACTTTAGTTTCCAATTTTGACACCATATAAAATCCATAATGCAAATTAAAATCATTCACTGAGATTTTGTTATTAATAAAAATATGTATGTATAAGCAGAACAACTCCCTGTAAAATATTTTATAGGGATTTGTTTTACTGTCCATAGTACAAGGTTAATTCAATAAAATAAATTAATTATTAATTTTGAATTTCAGGGATCCCACAATAATTTGAAAGACAAAACTCTCAGCTCAGAAGGTGTTTTCAAAAAAAATAAAAAATTATCATTGTGGTCTTAGATGAAATGTATGCCACATGTGACAGTAAAAATTTAGCAATATGTACTTCATTTTCCCTTTCAAAATAAAAACAATACGAAACGCAAAATTTGGTTGTCTCAATACGAAACGCATTGTGTCTCTCTTTTATTAAAAATTATAATGAAGTGTTTGCGGGTCCTATATGGAAACATAATAAATTCCTGTTAATGAGCTTTCACGTAAGAATTGCTTAAAAGCACTCTAATTTAATCTTTTTCTGCTATTGTTCTAAAATGTTGAAATTTAATACAATAAATATTTTCTTATAAAGGCTGTATTGAATGTATGAATGTATGTGTTTCGCATATTTATGATGTATGAAAAATTATTAGTTATTTTATTTGTATGGTAACATGTGGCGCCACTTTAAGAGTAAACAAAAAAAAAAAAGAGTAATGTAATATTTTCCAAATCAATTTATAATTTATTTTGCGTTCTTATTTTCTTTAACATTTTGTTTTTTTTTTTTTTTTTGAATTTTGGAAGAGAATATTAGTCACTTTAAAAATGCTAACATTTTTTTTTTACTATTTATGTACAGATTTTATAAATTATAACAGTTTTAAATTTTCTTTGATATTCTGGATATTTCTTGTTTGTTTTTTTTGTTTTGTTTTTGTGTTATTTAGTTTTTTGTAGTGTTGCAATAATATGCAGTTGTGTTGTTATATATAACTGTATATTATTAGTATATGTGTATATATACATATACGTATTGGATATATATATATATATGTACATATTTTGTTTATAGTTGATATTATTTGTATAAAATTAGGGTTCCCGCCCTTGTGATAAAGATATAATAAATTAAATATTAAATAACTAACTAAAAATCTTAGAATATAAAGATGTGTCCTTTTTTTTTTTTAATTTTTTTCAATATTTATCTAAAATATTCTCTTTTTTTTATGTATTATGTAGTTTGTATTTTCATTATTTTTAATACATTTAAAATATATCGGTCTATTTTTTGTTTTTTTTTTTTTTTTTATTGTGTTACAGATGGTTTTATTCGAAATTAAATTAATATATATATAGTTTTTGAAAATACAACTCTTTATTTATTGCAGGGTTGCCAATTATTTTCATTCAATTATGAATAATAAGTGCGAATTTAAAATTTTGTTTTTTTTACTAAATGAAAAATGAGGTTATGTTAGATGTCATTTTTGATATAAAATTCCTGATTTACTATATTTATTTTTTGCTTTTTATAATAATGTTTTTAAAATTTAATGTTATTTCGAAATAATTATATTTAGTCAAATTAATTATAATTTAACTGAAATAATTTTAATGCTTCACTTTCACAGAAAATAAGAAAAATTTTCATTTTAAATTGAATATAGGTTAAAAAAATCTCAATACGTTAAAAGATATGATGTGTTCATTGTGTTCCAAAATTTTGTTTTCGTCTTGCATGTATTCTAGCCAATCATTAAATTTTCAAAAATTTTTTCATATTTCTTATTTTTAATGATATTTGATCTTAAATTAATTTCACCTAATTTGGAAATTGGAAAAAAATTACAGCTAAATAAAAAAAAAATCTACAGTCCGCACGAAAGATTTAAGAATGATGTATAAGCTCTATGTTTTTGAATAATTTACATTTTAATTATAATTTTTTAATTTTTAGAATAGGTATTTAGATATATTTATAATGTCGCAAAAAAAAAAAAAAACAGAAAATATAAGACCGAATAATTTTTTTTTTGTTTTGTTTTTTTTTTTTTTTGTTTTTATCTACAAATAGTAAATATTAATTTATTTATTTTATTTTATTTTAATGAATTACATATTTATAAATTTTTTATTTTAAATTCTTAATATTCTACAATTTTTTTTATATATATGAAATTTTTATTTTATTAAACAACCAAATTTTCTAAAAATACTAATATATTAAAAGTATGTATAAGTTTTATATATATATATATAGGTATAAATATATATGTACTATATAT